CTAGACCTCAACCAAAAGTGAGGTCAACATGACTATATGCGTGGGAGGTTTTCATTAAATATGTAGTGTAGAGGCAATGCTAGACCTTAGCCACTTCTTCATGACTAAAGTATTCTTCTAGATCAAGATCTCCCTTCTCTTCCAAGAGGGTGACAAGGCTTTGTTTATAGAATTCATATTACAAACAATAAATGAATCCAAACACTATCATACAGTTCAGAGAGATTCCCTTTATAAGATGATGTCCAACAAACTATTAAGTGTTTGGATGACAACAAAATTTGATGATATTGGGCTTGCTGGATTCGTCTTGTCAAGACAATCAATTTTACTACAAGTTTGTTAGATTTAAAATATGTTTCAATTTGATTAAGTTTTGAACAATTTTGAACAATTTTGGTATCATTTGGTTGTCCTGGCTAAGCCGATCATTTTTACTTTAAGTTATTTTTTTTAAAATTTGAGTTTTAGATGACTTCTAATCAAAGTTTAAATAATTATTACAAAAAAAAACTCGAGATTTTTGCTAATCGCCCCAAGATTCGTGTCAGATGATGGAAATTTGTTTATGGCGTACCGTCAATGATAATTATGTATGATTTGCGGCAAATGGTTAGTGTAACTTTGAAGGATATTGATTATTCATAAATATATTTATATAATTTTATTGATTTTGGTTTAACTCGTACTTGCACAAAGTTGAGTAATTTCTTGGATCTACCGACTAGATTACCAATTTCATTATACATAATATTGATGCCATGCACATTGAAAAAAAAATTGATAATGTATTCAATATTGTGTTTGATGCTAAGGGCAAAACCAATGGGAATCTTAAAACTAATTTAGACTTGAAAGAGTATAGCGAGAAAATTATGTTAGAACTTTGAAAGACCATTGCGGGTAAATTATACAACGTAAAACTAAATACTACCTTAATTTGGAGCAATGAATAACAATCAATGAATTGTTGTAGTATATGAAGTTCTCTATCGAGGGGGCATCTAATTTGAGTTGTTGTGTCGACTTAGGAGCATGAAAGGTATTTTCCATTAGAAGTCATGACACCGCATTTTCTCGCAACGTGTTTTGTTAAGTGAGAATTAATCTGTTGACTAAAATTAGTGCATTGTTTGTATAATTATGTGCAACTTATTCAAATGTTGATGTTTTGAGACTTCTTTAAATAAATATTTTAGTGACATTGCAAAGACTAAAATATATGTTTACTAACGTCTTATTTGGCTCAATGAAATATTTATATGTACATATACCTAATGAGGTTTTAATACGGGTTAAATATAATACAAGTAGATGCATTCATTTTAGATGCATGTCTTCAAAATGCCAATTATATAAGGTTTAGGGATGACATTGTTGCATTGTACTGAATAATTAATGTTATTATATATTTTTTAAGAAATCAACAAAATCATAAAAAATAAAGCATAATTTGAAAGCTAGTTGTGCAATACGCTACCCTGACCTCCACTTTCATCAGCGAAAAACCACCATAGTCTGCTCGCCACCACTATCAGATCACTGCACCTGAACACAACTATCGTTGTTATCAGACCACTGTTGTTGAGTCACCGCCACTGTTGTACCTCATTTGCCCGACCACCATCATCTTGTCATACAGATGTTGTTGGATCGTAACTTTTGAGCAATCCATATTTCATCCTCTTACTCCAACAAAGAACATTTTCTATACATTTTTGAATGATCATATTTCAAATTATAAAATTAATCGCAATAAACTTATAAATACTTTCAATGAACTAACATCATTTGAGTCACAAAGAGATGAGAAAATATTCCATACTTAAAAAATATATATATACTCATGTAAATATAGTAAAATTTTATTAAAAAAAACTATATAATAAGGAAATAACATTATATTATAGGAAGATTTATGTATCTACCATTCAATTTCTATGCTTGTACATATCCAACACATAAATTTCAAATTTTTAGGTACATACCACCTCATCTATTGGAGGAAGAGTTTCATTTCACTTTTTTTAGGTTAAATTTGGGATATTTTTTATGTGATATGAAGTATTTGGGTGATATAAATGTAAAAAGTAAAATTTAACAGGGAGATATGTAAATACATAAGAATTGGGGGGTATATCTGTAAATGCCCTTCATATTAAACCGAATTACATTTTGAGCCATATAAAAACATTTAAAAGGGGGCAGCGCTTACATAAACAGGGTTGCTGTACGGCAATCGCGAACTTCTCACTGAATAATAAAAAAAAAAAATAGCATTAAAGGGCCCAACCGGGTTCGAACCGGTGACCTATTGATCTGCAGTCAATTGCTCTACCACTGAGCTATGGTCTGCAGTCAATTGCTCTACAGTCAATTGCTCTACCACTGAGCTATGGACCCAACTGTATTGAATTTGTTGAAATGTTTATATTTAATTTTTTAAAATTACTTCAATTAAAAATGTAGTCATTCATGTTTTTTTTAGGGCTTACTCATTCTAAATTGAGATATTGGTCTTTCTCACATGTTACTTAAAATATTTAAAAATCATCATAAAATTTATTAAACCTATAAAATATTAATTTGCAATTTGTATTTGAATAAGTGCTTTTAAATATATATTATTTTCAGGAATGAGGGAAGCATTGCTTTATCAATAGTAAAGAATTATGGGGTCTTAATCAATGGGGCATGAGCGCTAATTAATATGTCTATGATACTTTTTTTTTATTAATACATAGTCACATCTAAGTAAAATTGCAAGAGATATGAGGTTGCATGTGAACAATTAAAAACAATTTAGAGATTGTAATACAATCAAATTTTGATGAGTTTGTTTTGTTTTTTTGGGATAGAATGACATCATGATTGACATCCAATGAAATGTTAAATAATCTTATAATATAATTTTCAAAGATCACCTCTACCAACATATTTCATTTCTCATTTAAGTGTTCATTTTCCATTTTCATAAATAATATATATATATATATATTATATATATATAACCATTCTCTTAAATAGTCTTAAAGGGTTGAATATTTGTCATAAATAAAAAATTAACATAAAAAATATGTAGCAAATAAGTCTTGTAAAAATATGTATTCATTTGCACATTAGAAATGTGTTGGCATGAATCTTAAGAAAATTCAACGTACTGAGTGATATAATAAGTACGATTAGGGGGCGCCCATAGAATGAAGATCAGGAGTATCATCACTGGAAGGTCAAATGACTTAATTGATGTGTGGATCTCTTAAATTGGGACTCAAGTCGATCAGACACGGGCTATTCGAGCCAAAATCCATCAAGTTGAAAAGAAAACATATGTCAAACTTTCGACCCAATATTGTCAACTATCTCATAAGAGTCTCTAAGATTCATTACATAGGTCTCGATAGTCAACGGTCGGAGTAGAACGACCGATTAACAGAATCAAGCCGACTAATTCAAATTTGATCATAAGAAATGAATCGACAAACCCAGCTCATCTTGGTTAGACGAACGAGTTCTGCCGACCAAAGTCTCGCCGCCTCGACCGACCAAATAGCATGAAAGACGAACCATATGCTAATTTATGTAAATACCTAAAAGATACAGTAACACCCCAATTAAAACGGAGTGAACATGTAATTATACATATTATATCCTTTTTTAATAAATAAAAGAATTGCCAAATAAAGGTTAATAAAAAATTCATTTTACTATTCATTAACGTGCACTCTCTTACTTTCTTTCTTTCTCTCTCCTATTTTACGTATATTTCTTGTGTGTGACTCCATAAAAGATTCAGGTTTAACATTCCGAAAAGAGTGGTGAGTGTGGAGCATGTCAACAACAAGAAGAAAAGCAACACAATGAGAATAAATTTACGAAAGAGATACTGCTAATATGAAGTGTGCTTGGGAGTTCATACAACAACAATTCCAAGAGCTAAGAGACCAAACATTTGATCAAATGACAGAGACCATACATGAAGCTATAATAAGGGAAAGTGATTCGAATATAGTAAAAAAGAGCTTTAACTTAACAGGGAATTTATCTAATCTATTTATGATATTTGGCTGGATTTAATTTAAATTCTATTTAATGTATGGAACCAAACACCCCCACATATAAGTGTCATGCATGCAAATAAGAAAGTTTAAGATCGAGATACATAAAGTCACAAAAAAAATTTGTGCCGCGTATGTGAATTTCTTTTTTTTATATGTGTTAACAATTTTTATTAACTTTTTGAGATGAAATTTTAAAGGTATTTCTCGCGCATACAACTAAATTCTTACAAATTTTAGACATCCAGCATTGAAAATTTTATATTTTATTGCATAACACAATAATTTTTAAAATAAGAGTAATTAAAATATTACAAAAACTAAAAAGTGTTTTACATAAATATAATGACTTTGTTAGAAACGGTGGAGCCCGTTCCACTATGCCTGGGCGGTTACTTTGCTTTGGAGAGTCGCACCTCTTCACAAATAACCACTTATGTATTTCTCATTTGTGACGTGAAACATCTCTTCGCTCTCTCCTATTTGTGATAAAAGCTTCAGATGACTCTCCTTAGGTTTTGAAGTCACGCTTTGAGTTCTTCTTCGGTTTCCTCGGCTTCTTCGGTTTCCTCGCTTCTTCGGTTTCCTCGGGATAAAAAAATGATTCCTCGGGGCAAAGGAAGAGAAGTGCAAGGAGGAGTAGTTCCTTGCGGGAGACATCTCTTCGCTCCCTCCTGTTTGTGATAAAAACTTCAGATGACTCTCCTTAGGTTTTGAAGTCACGCTTTGAGTTATTCTTCGGTTTGCTCGGGATAAAAAAATGATTCCTCGGGGCAAAGGAAGAGAAGTGCAAGGAGGAGTAGTTCCTTGCGAGAGGAGGAGGAAGAAGGAAGAAGAAGAAGATTGTTCTCCCTAGGCTTCTTCTTGGTAGCTTGTGACAGAAGAGAAATTGAGTTTATTTCTCTTGTAAGTTTGTCTTCTTCGGTGTATTTTGGTGTAGAGTTTTCTTTGGTGTATCTCGGTATAGAGAGAGATGAACACAGAGAGAAGAGAGAGAGAGAACAACGAATAATGAGAGGTTCCTTTTGTAAGTTGAGGTGATCGACAGTTGTAAATTTTTCAAGTAGTAAAATCCTTTGCAACTCTGTGGACGTAGACAAATTGCCGAACCACGTAAATCTGTGTGTTCCGCAGTGTTGTTCTTTTCTGATGTTATTTTTCTCGTTATATTTTTCACTTCGTCGATCGTTCTACTGTTTTATTTATATATATACCACATCAACTCATATATCTAGATCTTTCAACAACAACAAACATTATAGGTATAATTAGTCTTCCTATAAATTATTTTAATTTTCAGAGTGAAATATAAATTTTAGCTGGGTTATTCATGTAAATAGAGAGAAATTAGGTGGCATGCATTTAAAACTTCCTATATTCTTTGTGCAAAATACGGAGGCTAGTTCTCCAGTCGTGGCTCCCTCCTTGAAAACGATGGGAGGGAGCAACAGCGCCGCAGAGTCATTGTGGTGGGAGAAACAAAACGAATTAAGAGCGAAGAAAATGCCAAAGAGGAGCCCTGGCAACGGGACCAGCGGCTATCCGATTCCCTCTCGTCTAATGAGATAATCAATCGATCGGCTTCTTCAAACTCGAATCCTCACCCTCTCCAATACCAGGTAAAACTGTGGTTCCAGAGTCTCGGATCGTTGTCACAGTTCTTCATAATCCGGTCAATCTTGCTCGCATCGGGTTATCAGCGTCCGGCTTCACCACGCATTGCTTCTTCTTCGCGTTTGGTGGTGATTGGGACCTAGGGTTTTGGTGGGTTGGAGGAATGGGAGAGCAGAGGAACCGATGGAGCTGGGACTTGCCGCTGTTTGAACCGAGGAGTTCGTTGGAGCGGGAGGAACAGAGGCAGCAGAGCTCGGTTCGGAAGTTATCGCTTTCGCCGTCGACACTGTCGCCGCGGGTTGGGTTTGGGAGGCAAAACGTCAATGAGAAGTTTCGCCGGCTCAAGGACCAAGTGAAGGTTCGATTTCTATGTGTGTTTTTTGAAATATATCTTATTTGCTTTCATGTTCACGTGACGGTTGGCATAAGTGTGAAAAAAGGCGCGTGGGGATTTGGAATGGTCGAAGGCGAGGCCTCAGTGGCTTCTGCCGGGTTGAGCAGTTTGATGAGTGCTTAATTTCAACTGTCCTGCTGATAAGATTGTTCCAACTGAGCAGCAGCAGCAGTGGTTGTAAACTAATCTTTTTGGTTAGGACGAGGGATGACAGTGGTCATGTGCAGTAGAGCTTGAGTTATGAATTCGAGCTGAGAAATAACATGAAAACCATGGAAATCTAACTGGCCTTATCTTCTTTAGGCTTTAAAGGTATGCGCTATTAGGGCTCAAAGAAAGAATCAGTGCATATGTTAGTTTCATAAGATGGAAAAATGAGAGTCTTGTGTGCGCAAAGTGCACAACCGGGTATTTATGCTCGGGAAAAAAAGTTTTTTCAATTCCCTTTTGCATTTCCTTCCGGCTGCTTATTGGAGCTGTCTGTTACAATGCTAATTTTGCATTCTTTGGCCAGTTTTAGTTAGAATTAGTACATGAGAACACTGATTCTCTCTCCCTCTTTTTTGTGTGCATCTTAAATTGCTTTAGCAAGCATTAGATTTTGATGGAATGTTGTGAGAATAGATGCCAAGCCAGAATGGTGATGGAGAACATGGGTGAGGAATTAATAGTGGATGTTCAGATTACCCCAATAAAAGGAGATAGTGTTTTTCTGTCCAAAAAATTATTGTAAGTTTATATTTTCATTTCAGTGAATACTTGGATATCTTGAAAACATAGAAAGTTGATTCTTTAACGTGTTCACCTTAACATGTAGCAACCTTTAGAGTTGGTAGCTTGGGAGGCTATTCATTTGTCACTTTCTGTCTTACAGCGCTCAGAAAACATTTTTAAAACAGCATACTTTATGCTGATTTTTTGCTTTTATAGCTGTCTAAAAAATAATTTGGGTGGTTTCAGATGTTCTATTCGTAGGGAGTAGGCTGATATTAAGTTTAATTTGTGTGATTTTGGTTTGAATCCCTGAAAAAAAAAAAAAGAGAATATTTCAGGAGAATATTTCAGTTTATTTCAATTTATTTCAAACCAGACTTAATAAAAATTGATCCAATTTGAGCTATTTTGACTTGGAATAATTCAATATTGTGACAACTAATAATGAATTCTATGTCACCAGATGGCCAAATTAGTTCACTTACCTCCCTTCACTTCCAATTATTTAAGTCTTTTTTCCACTTTCTTATTTTCAATAGATAGCTTACTCATGTTGAGTATTCTATGCAAGCATCTTTTTAACCAGTAAACAAGTTACAACTTTAGTGTTGAGTATTATTATTTTTACAAAATCCAACAGGGAATTTTATTCCACACAAGTAAAATATTACAATGGGCAGGCAAAAGGTCCCCTCTACACCCCACGTACAACTCACACAACAAAAAGAAAAAACCTAAGGGACCCCCCTCCAAAAAAGGAAAAAAATACAACACACCCCACCTACAAAACCAACACAATCAAACACGCAACAAAACCAATTCCTTTAATTTAATTCAATTTAATTTAATTTAACTTTAGTTTTGATTGTTATTTTAACCCTTTTGTGTTTGGAAGCACTTTTATTATTGCACAATTATTTCTAATGCCATTCAATTTTTAATGAATAATAGTTGCAGCGACTTAGAATTCTTTGGCATACACCTTTTTTTTGCATTTCACAAGAAATAAAGTTACATGTTACTTATTTATGTAATAAGAGCTAGGCTTATGATGACACTACCTTGTCTGTGTTAGGGCTGTAAAAAAGCTTATTGTTTGAAAACAACTCGCGTTCGATTTATTAAGTAGTTCTTGCTTGAATTGTTCGTTAAGTAAGGGAGTCAACAAGAACAACAACAACAACAACAACAACAAAGCCTTAATCCCACTATGTGGGGCTACATGAATCCTTTTTCTCCATTGCGTCCTATTTAGTGTCATATTTTCATTTAATTCTTGTAAATTAAGATCATTAATACAAGAAGCCCAAGTCTTCTTAGGTCTACCTTTGCTTTTCCTAACACAAGTCGAATCTAAAACATCCACTCTTCTAATCGGATCATCAGATGGTCTACGTTTAATGTGACCAAACCATCTAAGACGACTTTCTCTAATTTTGTTCGTCACAGGAGCTACACCAACCCTATCACAAATATATTCATTTCACATTTTGTCTCTAAGTGTAAAGCCACTCATCCACCTAATCATTCTCATCTCGGCAACACTTAACTTATTATTATGCTTCTCTTTTAAAGGCCAACATTCAACGCCATAGTGCATTGCATGTCTCACCACCGTCTTATAAAATTTTACTTTCAGTTTAAGAGGTACTTTTCTATCACACAAAAGGGCCAAAGCATTCCTCCACTTCAACCAACCAACTTGAATTCTGCTATTAACATCCCCATCTATATCACCATCGTTTTGAACAACGGACCCAAAATATCTAAATCGTTCATACCTTTTAATAATTTGATCACCCAAAGTCACACTTCTGTCACTAGAGCTATTATTACTAAAATTATATTCCATGTATTTAGTTTTAGTTCTATTTAATTCAAGTTTTTTCTAGGTTTCTTCTCTTTTTTATCCACGAGAAGGATATCATCAGCAAAAAACATACACCAAGGTACATCCTCCTGTAGATGTCCACTAAGATCATCCATAACTAAAGCAAAAAGATATGGGCTTAAAGCCGATCCCTGATAGGGCTTAAAGCCGATCCCTGATGTAATCCAACAAAAATAGGAGAATATTTGGTCAATCCTCCTTCAGTTTGAACACAAGTATCAACTCTAGTATACATATATTTGATGACTATTTTGTGTTTTTTGTTGATTTGCTTTGCCAGATCTTTGTCGAAGAAATTTCATTCCTGTGTCAAATGAAATGTAATGGCCATATTAGGATGTTAATAGATAAGGCAAAAATCACCTATATTACCCGCAAGCTTTATTAAACTGAATATCAAAGAAGCAGCCGCACTTCAGTAATACATGTTTGGAGTTGAACTTTCACACCACATTGAAGGTGGGGCGCATATTAATTTATAATTTGGACTTAAAACAGTTTGTTTCAAGTATAAGTAAATTTATAATGGTAATTGTTGTTTGTTAACATGGACAAACCATTTTCATGTTACTGAGATGATATGTTTATTGGGATTGATGTTGGAAACATGAAGCCATGCTATAATGTTTTTTTTTTTTTTTTGAACTAATCACACTATTTTTGCATTATTTCAGGTAAATGATATCTAATTTTTATTTTCTGACTTCATTTTATTGACCTTAAAGCGTGCAAAGCAAGACTATTTGAACTTGAGACAAGAAGCCAGTGATCTCAGAGAGTATTCAAATGCCAAGCTTGATCGAGTTACTCGCTATCTTGGAGTTCTTGCTGATAGAACTCGGAAACTAGGTAGTGCAGTGCATGTGTAGCTTTATTGTGAAGTTATCTGATAAAATATTTAATCCATGTTTTGATGAACGTCTTCTTTTCATTGATACTATTTGTGTAAATCCGTGGCTTAAAACTCTTTACTTCTTTGTTTTTTATTTTTTATTTATTATATGTTTTATAACTTGTTATTGTGCTGTTAAATAATGTAGTTATCACAGATATTTGTTTTGTTTTTAATTCTACCACCCAACTTCTAACGTACACAGTACTTTTGCATATTTTTTGCGAAGTCCGTTTTTGTCAAGCAGTTATAGATTATTAACGTTGATTTCTTTTTGGGATGTAGTAGTTGCTTGTTTTGCTTTCTGAGGTTTTGTAAGTATCTTTCAAGTTTGAATGTAATGCATTCTTTTGAAGTATAAATAAGAGCGTTCTACTATTGGCGGAGTTCAATCAGACACTAACAATACTCCTCAAGCAGAATTCTGTGTGTAATTAGGAAGGCCCTAAAGTCTGCAAATCATATGGATTTGAAGTCATAATAATTCTTCATTTTTGTTACAAATGTTTATGATAATTATGTTTTGGGCTCCTTTAATTTGGATTTGAATTGCAAGTCATGCCATGTGCTGATGGTCTATTCTAAAATGAAATACTCCGAGTTGATCAATGGCCTTATCTGGTCAGAGTTAAAAAGACGTCACCCCCAAACCCTTCCTATGTCCTAACCCACACTTATTCATGTGGAGCAGTGTTTGGATTTGAAGCTGGAATGGGCACCCTCTCAGCCATCACAGTATTTGCGCTGTGGCAACAATGAGATTAAGGGAGTGGGAGGGAGAGTAGTAAATGAACCCTTTTATCTATATTTTTGGACATCTCGGAGCAGAATCTTTTAGTTTAATAAAGCTTGAAATGTGCATTTGTATGAACTATTATGGAGCTTTAATGGGGCGAATTTAGCTCACACTTATCATAAACATGAGGGAACTTAGCTGCTGGTTGTAGAATGACAATGACCCTTGTAAAATCTAGGATAAGCAGAAGGATATGCGTACTTTTAAGCTTATACTTGAGCTTGTGATCTGCCAAGTTGGTTTGGTGAAAATTTTTTTGTGCTAGTTTTGAAACCTATGATGCACGAACTGGGACACAAACATGTGACAGGTTTATTATTGAAAATATGCAATAAGAACTCGCAATGGACTCGACATTATAACTTTTTATATTTCAAAAATTAAAAATTTATTTTGATATGGAAGCCTTAGTCAAAATCATAAGAATAAGTATTGAAAATATGGAGTAAATATGACATAAATTATAAAATCTTTACTTTCTTATGAATTTTTTATTAAGGTATTAAGGCATGTGTATCAGAAAATGCTAATCATATGAAAGACCGAAAGTCAAAAATCCAAAAGGTATTCAAAATACGTAGTAAATGTAATATAAATCGTAAAATTAAATAACTTATTTGATTACGGTAATTATTGTATCAATATGGGTGATAGAGAGAAATGTGAAATATTGTAAATTATATCTTAAAATTGTGATAAATGATTATTTTAGATATTAGGTAAACTTACATGTATTAAGAATATGGAAAGAGAAAAAAATGAAAGGCAAAATCAGGAGGATAAATATTAAAAATATGGAATAAAGATTATATAAATCATTAAATTTTAATTTTCATTATATTTTTTACTAAGATATTAGGATATGCTTGTGGGGCGCGTGTGTTGTATTTATTTTATTAGTTTTTATTAGCACATGTTTGATGTGCTTCAGACACGTGTTATATACTGCACACTTTAAATACTAGGAGTGTTAGTGTATCGTAATGAAACCATTCAAATAACTGTTCACAATAGAAGGTAGTTTTTAATAGCCCACAAAAGTTAGATTCCCTATTTTCTACCATTTAAATTACATGCCACAAATGGTTATACTCTTCTTCTTGATGTAATTTTCTTCATAAAATTCTAAGTGACAGATTGGTTGGTTGAGTTACTTATTTTGTTTTGGGTATATTATGGTATGCAATAAAAGTTTCTAGTAATAATAAATTGTCACAAGAGCATATGTTTCTAATGGTCATGGATATGGGTGTCAATCTGGGTTAACAAGCTGAGTTTGAGTTTGACTCAAATTTGCTCGACACATGCCTGACTTGTTTATTATATGAGTAAGGGTATCTGATTTTAAATTGACTAGATAGTTGTTCTTAATGCAACTTTCTATAACCATTTATTATATGGTTCATACATTTTTTTTTATGCTCCATGACAAAGCTGAATCCAAATATGACTCTTTGAAGCAAAGGACCGTTACTTGTTGGTCAATAGAGAAGATTTATTTAGACTAAAAATTGTGGGCTATTTTTGCGCACCATCCCTCTAACGAGATGCGATATTTCCGTTCTGTGAAAATTCTGCTGCGGGACACTCTCATCAACTGCAGCCACCAGCCCAATGGGGCCCATATTTAATATTTTCTTTAATTATAATTAGGATTTTTGATAAAGAACTATTTATATGTTTTGTTTTTTTGTTTTGAGGTACTTTTGATTTTGTTTGTGTGTTTTAGAGTTTGTCTCTGATTCTACCATAATAGAGTGCTAAATCGTCTTCCTTTTGTAAGTGATGTGTCTGTAACTTGGACAGGAACATGTGGTGAACCTCTTCGACACTCATAACTTGTCATTCCGACCCTCTCTTTGTTATTGTCAGCCGGGACAACCGCCCAACATTGTTTATCTCCCTCTAAATGCCATCAATTGTCCCTATTATCGTCCCTTGCTAGTCCACAATTGCCTCCATGCTAAATTTGCTTCCCAATTATCTTCTAGGAGCCATATGATGGTATCAGTAGTAAAATGTTTGATGGCTGACATTTTTTATCTGAATTTTACCAGTATTTTATCAGGTCAATCCAAAACTGTATTTTTTTTGAGGTGGTGCCTTGTTGAATTGTTTTATCCAATCATTTTTGACACCCTAATAGTATATAAATCAAATAAGTATGCAGAGTTATTGATATATGTTTATTTTTGAATCAATGATTAAGTTTTCATGGAATGATTAATATATATGATATTCGCCTTTTAATTTTCTATAAAATATGCACATTTGTAATATGCATAAGCTAGAAACTGGGCAATTAAACTCTTTTTGATGGATTCATTGTCAACTTTGATGTTCTTATGGTTTAAATCAGGCTAATATTAGTTAATATTAGCATTTTTTTTATTACTTGTATTTGGAGACAAAGGATTTTTTAATACCATATTTAAACATGAAATGTAACTTTCAAATGTCCCGTTTGTATCAATCTATGACCATGAGCTTGATCCCAAGCAATGAGCACTTAAATTCTATTCCATTGCTTGCCTGGTGCTGTTGAAATGTAGCTTGTCGATCTGTTAAACTGACTCTTATTTCAGGTAAAATCTGTCTTTGTTTGTTGTACAATTTGAGGATTGCTTCCTTCTTTTGTGATCCAACTGATTGTGTAATCTTCACCAAACGCCTATTCGATTAATTTTAGGTGGCTCGCTGAAATGGTGCGAGGAAGGAAGACACTTATTGGTGTTTGGCTGGCAGTTGAGTGGGGAAGGATATAAGAGGAATTTTTTAGAACATGAGTTCCTTTGTCATTTGGATGAAGTAGCATGCAGAATCGGCATGGCTACTTCTATTACTTCATCTTCACTTTTGTCCCAAATATTTTTGTTGGCTTTTATTGCTTTCAGGAAACAGCACGAAGCATAATCATACTTCCTGGTTTGTAGGACTGACTCGCAGATATCTCCAACTAATTTAATTCCTAAGCCGAGTATTTGGTTGGCAGTCAAAAGTGAAGCGTATAATTGTAAGCATTTAGTTCATCAGAAATGATGTCAGTCTTTGACCACTTTCACTGTGGGACCTACAGGGAACCAAACAAAGACTGTTTTCACTCTTAATTCATAATCTCTAGACCTGCCTGGCAGGTTTCTCTACCTTATTTACTTGTTGTATGAATTTTCATCTCTTTGAATTCTATTTTAAAACGTGCCAATGTTTTTTTTTATATTTGTTTTATCCGTCAGGTCAGGCGGCTCTTGAAGCTGAGACAAGAATTGCACCTTTGCTTGCTGAGAAGAAAAGTTTATTTAATGAATTATTGACAAATAAAGGTAACACGACTCCTTAAGTGACTTTTTCCTACAAAATTGAACTTCAACATTTCCCTGTAGCTGATTATGGTTCAAGATTTATTGTTGTCCTTTCTTTTCATAGTTTTTTTAACCCTCTGCCGAGTTTGTTTTAGTGAGTCATGTTCTATATCTCAGGGAACATAAAGGTATTTTGTCGTGTAAGACCCCCTTTTGAAGACGAAGGTCCCTCTGTGGTTGAGTTTCCGGATGAATTAACTGTTCGTGTTGATACTGGTGATGATTCTTTTTCCAATTCTAAGAAGGATTATGAGTTTGATAGAGTTTATGGGCCCCATATCGGACAAGGTGTGCTGAAATTGACGAGCAATTCCATTATTGCAGCTTCTATTTCAACAAACTAAATATCTTTTTCTTATTTTAAATGATTAATAGTTGATACACAGTTCTATATCCGTTGTTTTTAGCTGATTTCACTTATAAAATTATGCCAGGTGAATTCTTTCATGATGTTCGACCTTTCATACGGTCAGCAATTGATGGATATAATGTTTCCATATTTGCGTATGGACAAAGTAATTCTGGAAAAACACACACAATGGTTTCGTTCTCTCCCCTCTTCCAATCTGACTCTGCCTTCTTTATTCTAATATTCTATTCATTCTATTCATTCTATTAGGAATTAATTTCTCATGATTTCTTTTATGTTTTTAATTTTTTCTCTTGTTTGCATTTCAAATTACTATTTGATATGGTCAAGCTTATTGCTGCTGCGATAACTTAAGTTTGCTTTATTACCCTTTTTTTCACCGCTGTAAGTACTCACCACTGATTGATGATGACAAATTAATCTCTACACTATCGTATTTGATAACGATCTATAAACATGCAAATTTGCGGTTTATAGAAACTGTGTGGCAATAAGTGACTCTTCTTTAAATATTTGGGGGATTTATACACAACACTTAAAGAATTATTTATTTACATATCAAACATAGCACTCAAAATCCTACTAAACTCACAAAAATAACATTGTTAATTATAAAGAAATAAAGCGGCAATAACATCCAAAGTTTGTTCTCATCCACAAAAACAGTAGAATTACCCTACATGTGATTTACATTAAGACAAAATTATCAAAGTACAATGCGATGCATAGACTTTATTTTTGCTTCAAATTTCAAAGCGTTGAGCGAAGTGAGACTTTTATTAACCAAAGTGCTAATAGTTTATATAAAATTGTTAATAAATAAATACATTTGTTAATAATTATAAAATATACAATATGACTTAAAAATTAATATAAAATAGAAAATAATGGGGTACAATACTTAACTTGAAGGCGAACATTGAGGGTGAACCTGCATTTAAAAATTCAAACAATTTCTAACAGTTTGTTGCAATAATTTAAAGCTTAAAAATTATATATATACATATATACATATATATGTATGTACATATATACATATATATGTATGTACATATATACATATATATGTATGTACATATATACATATATATGTATGTACATATATACATATATACATACATATGTATGTACATATATACATATGTATGTACATATGTATGTACATATATACATATGTATGTACATATGTATGTACATATATACATATGTATGTACATATGTATGTACATATATATCTACATACATATATATCTACATACATATATATAGGTATGTACATGTATGTACATATGTATATATACATATATATGTACATATATATCTATATATATATATATATAAACTTGCAAATTTACTTCCAGCACTTGGAAGAATGCTTTAGCGAAGCTAGTGGGTCATACGCTTTGCTCGTGAAGTGTGCTTTTAAAAACATTGTCTTAAAATATGAGCAAAGTATTGAATGCCAACAATGTTCAACAACCCAAGGCCATATGAGGAGAAATCATACTCACCAGGGCAGGCTTCTCACGATGTCCAAGAAGATGGTGTTGTGGATGACTTGTTTTCAAAGAGTTGCTTCAAGAGAAGACCGCTATGGCTCTGTAGCGGTTCTATATGACGCCATGGCCCCCGATCGCAGTTTCACTTTGCATGAGAAGGCTGGGGTCACCTAGAACAGAAGAAAGTTGAAGGGGAGAGAGGACATATGCCCCAATTGGCAGAGAGTTGGAAACAAAGCGGGAGCATAGTTTTTATCTCTGCTGCATGATAGGCATACTGATCTTTGCTTCAGATTGTGTGGGGAGAGCGATATGCGAGGATATTTTGATGATTTTCTTGAAGAGGCCCAATCTATCTGCTTTGAAGGAACCCAAGAAGTTGCTTGCTGCCATGCATCATCGTACTGTGATATTGCCACCCCATCGCCTAGTGTTTTCCGTGATTTAGCTCACGATTAAAGGAATGCTAATTTTATGGGTTTGGTTGAGTTTTGGGTGCTATGTATGTATCTATAGAGGTTTGGGTGTTTGATTGGTAAATAGAGAACTTTTAAGTGCTATTTGTGTAAATCTCCTTATATTCGTTTTTAGATTTTTGAGTTCATTTAAACTTGGGGGAATGTGGGGCTATATAAAATTCTTATCTAACAACCTAAGATGGATGGGTGAAGGTTTGAAGATTTTGAAATTTAATGAAAATTTTAAACCCTAATTGTTTGAATTAAGTTTAATAGCAATCTACTCAAATGGAACATTAAGAGCTTTATAAGTTTCAATACTATTTGTTGAAAGTTTTGTATTATGGCATCCAAATTTACCATTTTCATAATTGTCCTTATTTCAAATATTTGCGATGGGCTTTATAAATATTTTACAAACAAATACTATTAAACAAGTAAAAAACACTATTAAACAACATTAAGCAGATGCTATGTGGGATAAAGTAACAAACACTATTAAACAAGTTGCAAAAGATGTATTTGGAGAATCAAAAGAAAAAGTTTCTATAAATAAAAAAGTTAGCGGTGCAATAATAATGTGCAAGAAAATATAAAATATAAGAAGTTATGCTATAAAAATTGGTTTAAATGTAAAAGCTTCGAGAACTGAAAAAAAATATCAAAAGGCCCATAAGGAGTCTAAAAGAGTAGTATGTGATTCTAAAAATTCTGCTTTTAGTGGTCTTTATAGTAGATTAGATGCCAAGGAGGGTGAAAAATATATGTATAAACTAGCCAAACGAAGAGAAATGAAAATTAAAGGTTTTACTCGAGTAAATTGTATTAAAGATGAAAATTAAAAAAATGTTTTTCTTAGAGAAAGATATTCAACATAGGTAAGCGAGTTATTTTGATAAACTTTTTAATGAAGTTTCTGAAGATCCGATTGACCTTTGTGATCTTAATATTATTAATAATAATAAAATGTTTTATTTTTACTGTCACATTAGTAAAAAAAAAGTTGAGGAGGCTTTAAAGAAAATTAAAGGTGTAAAGTCTGTAGGGCCTGATGATATCCCAATTGAAGTGTGGAAATATTTAGGAGATTTGAGAGTTTCTTGGCTCACTAAACTCTTTAATATTATTTTAAAAATTAAAAAGATGTCACATTAGTAAAAAATAATTTGAGGAGGCTTTAAAGAAAATTAAAGGTGTAAAGTCTGTTGGGCCTAATGATATCCCAATTGAAGTGTGGAAAGATTTAGGAGATTTGAGAGTTTCTTGGCTCAGTAAACTCTTTAATATTATTTTAAAAATTAAAAAGATGCCTGTGGAGTGGAGGAAAAAATATTTTGGTCCCCATTTTTAAAAATAAAGGGGATGCACAAAGGTGTGCAAATTATAGAGGAATTAAGTTGATGTGTCATACTTTAAAGTTATGGGAGAAAGTAATTGGACATAGGTTAAGACCAAAGATTTCTCATAATCAATTTGGATTTATGTCGGGCAGGTCTACCATGGAAGTTATACATTTATTGAGAGGTTTGATGGAGAGTTCAGAGATAATAAGGAGGATCTACATTTGATTTTTATTGATTTAGAAAAAGCGTACGATAAAGTTCCAAGAGATATCCTTTGGAGAGTTTTTGAGAAGAAAGGTGTTGATATGACTTATATTCAAGTCATTAAAGATATGTATACTAGAGCTGTTACTTGTGTTCGAACTAAAGGAGGATTGACCAAATATTTTCTTATTTCCGTTGGATTACATCAGGGATCAACTTTAAGCCCATTTTCTTTTGCTTTAGTTATGGATGGTCTTACTGGACATTTGCAGTAGGATGTATCTTGGTGTATGCTTTTTTCTGATGATATCTTTCTCGTGGATAAGACGAGAGAAAAAACCCAGGAAAAAACTTAAATTATGGAGGTCGACATTAGAGTCTAAAAGCCTTCATTTGAGTAGAACTAAAACTGAATACGTGGAATGTAATTTTAATAATAATAGCTCTAGTGATAGAAGTGTAACTTTGGGTGATCAAATTATTAAAAGGTGTGAATGATTTAGATATCTCGGGTATGTTGTTCAAAGCGATGGTGATATAGATGAGGATGTTAATAGTAGACTTATAGTTGGTTAGTTGGTTGGTTGAATTAGAGGAATGCGTCGGGCCTTTTGTGTGATAGAAAAGTACTGCTTAGACTGAAAGGAAAATTTTATAAGATGGTGCTGAGACTTGCAATGCTCTATGGCGCTGAATTTTGGCCTTTAAGAGAGAATAATAATACTAAATTAAGTGTTGCGGAGAGGAGAATGATTAGGTGGATGAGTGGCTTTACACTTTGAGACAAAATGCGAAATTAATATATCCGTGATAGGGTTGGTGTAGCTCCAACCATGGACAAAATTAGAGCGAGTCGTCTTAGATGGCTTGGCCACATTAAACGTCGACCATTTGATGATCCGATTAGCAGAGTAGATATTTTAGATTCGACTTTTGTTAAGAAAGACAAATGTAGAGGTAGGAGGACTTGGGCTTATTGTATAGAAAATGATCTTAATTTATTAGAATGAAATGAAAATATGAGAAATGAAAATATGGAGAAAAAGGATTCATGTAGCCGACCCCACGTAGTGGGATTAAGGCTTTGTTGTTGTTGTTGTTGTGGGCTTTATGAATCTTTATTTTCATTTGTTTATATTAAGTTTTAAGTGCTGCAGGCTAATATAAGTTGCTAGCATGTTCTGATTTTCTTGATGCTCGTTGCAAATATGTATTGTGCTATCTCCCCTACAACAATGACCTGCAGGATCAGTTGTTATCAAAACCACATCAATCTTGCTCTAGAGTATGCTGCATGTACATGTCCTATCCAAACCAATGGTAATATCATACCCAATAACTTTTGAGGAGCGAGGTACACAACATAATTATAGAAATCAATAAAAACTGAAATAAACAAAATAAAATATAATTGCCAAAAGCTCAAGTAAATTAGAAAGCTAAACTAATGGCTGTGAGAATTTTTCACAGCTTTAATAAAAAAAGACCAATGAGGAATGCGCATGCATATGGTTGTATGTCTAAAGTGGCTAAACTCTAATTATTGTTGGATAGATAAAGGCTGTAAACAAAACTTAAGGCAAGCCAAGTACCATGTTGCAGAAGCTCGTTTATTCATTTTCTTGTTGATTTTTAGCTAAGTTTAAAATTTTTTTTCAAGCTTGTTTATTTATTTATTTAAATATTTTGAGCTAGAATAGTGCCCAACTAACTTTATATTTTGTGAAAATAATTTTGAAGCGTTATGCTTATTACTAAACATAAATGAATTTATAATTTTAAATTAAAATTGAACTAATTCATGAACTATAGTTTTTCTTGTTTGCTGCAGTTCAAAAATCTTTTAAACACAGCTTGATTTGTATAGACTACTTCAACAAGAAACAACACCGAGTACTAGAGACTTAGTGGTGACTTTATTTGGTAGCGTGGTTGCATCATTAGAGGGACCAGTATTATTGTTAACGCATGAACATTCACCAACACATCATTTATGATAAAAATTTATGGCTATGGCACTTAAAGACGAGTAAATGGAGAGCAAATTATGCATATAAAATGAGCAATGACTTCTTTTAATGGAAACTTTCCAAACACTGGAATAGTTTTACTTGATATTGATATGCCTTTGATCATGGACAACCAAATTTGTTTAAAATCTATTATACAATTTATGCTAATGCTTAACACATATTTTGATAAAGTAATCAAATTTATGCTTGGGGAATGTAGTAATTGCATGCCATACTTATGGTTAAATCTGGAAGAGGTGATCTACTGAATAATTTTGGAGTAAAATTCTATCATTTGGATGAAGTTGCTAAATTCAATTATAATTCCTTTTTTTAGATTTAGATCATCCACAAGAATCCACTATAGATCATGTAGGATATTACTTATTTTTATGTTATCATTTACACTCAAATGCATGGCACATTGGTTGGAAACAAAGTGAAGCTCAAGGTGCTTGGTTCGAGCACTCGCCCCCACTCTTGCAAAAAAAAAAAGTTATCATAAAAAAGGGCGTCATTATCCTCAAGCTCTTTAATATTTCTATTATTAAAATTTAGAAGTTCATCAGGGTCTTGCAAAAAGTCATGATTCTGTAAGGATTTTATGAAGCTCTATGATCTTTTTTTTCTTAACATTTAAGCAGCAACCTCATCATTTTTGTGTACTTTTGGATTGAAAATTTTTGTTTGGATTTTTGGTAGGTATAACCGTAGGCTGAATAAAGACTATAATGTTTGACTTCATAGAACCACGTGGATCCATCCTTATGTTTATAAGTTTGATATATTGTCTGCAGAGGAAATACACAGCCACCTTTTAACTTCCTAGGATTTATAACCTTTTTTTTTATCCATTGGTTCAATGAGTTGTATCTTTGTCTTAATTTTTGTAGAAGGTTCATTTACAAACAAGCTTTTGCTTATTTGGCATGAGGAGAAAATCATTACTCTTATTCAAGGGCTATCCTGTACTACTGTTCTACTGTTGATGTGCCGAGTCTATGCCTTATTTTTGTCTAAATATTGGTACTTGCTAGGGTTTTCACTTGTTGAAATCAACTTATGATGTTGTGTCCATGCGCTTTGTCATGTCTCTACAGGAAGGTGCAAGCCAAGAACGTGGTTTATACCAAAGGAGTTTTGAGGAATTATTTGATTTATCAAATTTGGATACGACATCAACATGCCAATATAAATTTCATGTCACCGCCTTTGACCTCTACAATGAGCAGGTATATCTTATGGCTAGGTAATCTATTATCTCAGACATTATTTACCTGGTGCATCTAATGCCCTTTGCAGACTAGGATAGGATTGCTTGAGCTTTTAATTTCTTTTTTCATAAGTATGATTTCATTTTGGTGTGAATTTTTTGTAGATTTAGCAGCCTAATATTTTTTGTTCATCATTAGGTTCGAGATTTATTGGTAGATTGTAAAAGCAGCACTTCAACAGGAGTTCGCATTGGTCTCCAAGATTCTGTTGTGGATCTTGTGCAGGAAAATGCTAATAATCCTATAGAATTTTCACAAATTCTAAAAGCAGCACTCATGAATCGAGGTGCAGACTCCTTGAAGGCCAGTGTATCACACTTGTGAGTTATGCCCATATGAATAAGCTTGTTATTCCTACCTGTCAGTGCTTTTCCTTGTGGAATTCTTAATTTGTTTACTTTGGACTATTTTCCTCTTTCTTATCCCATTTTTTGGATTTTTAGTCTAATCTTACTATTAGTTTTAAATCTGGTTTTTTTATTATAAATCTCAAAATGAGCTTCTTCAGCTTAATACTTTTTTTTGTTAAGAATAGAACAAGCCAAATTCTGCTATAACTTGGCTTGCTGGGTGACAGATGATAACCATTTAAATTTCTATGTAGTATATAGGAAGGAAAAGAGGTTGAGAGAGAAACACCGTGTTAGTGCCTGAGAAGGCTCCGTTTCAGATTGGGACTTTCTAAAATTGCTGGTTTTTTGATTCTTTGGCATGAGGGAAAGCTGAGGGTGAAACAAAAACCAAATTAAATTGTTTGAGTTAAATGACTCCAATTTCCTCTTAACAATCGGTACAAGTTAAAGTATTGAACTAGTTTAATTAAAAGTATTTTTTATAGAAATTAATTTAGGGAATTAAATGTGATTAGATATATTTTTCTTAAAATTAGATTAAAAAAATGTTGGAACATTAATTTGTGATTGTCTTTTATACACTATTTTCAAATAAATATATATTATAATCATTTATATGATAATAGAAAATTGATTTCAATAGATGAGATTTTGTTATTATTATGTAGTATATAAATTTAACAATTTTGCAAAAAAAAATGATAGTAATAGTAATAGTAATAATAGTAGTAATACTTATGGGAATTATGACAATAATGATAGTGATAATGGTGATGACTAGTTCTGTAAACTAAATAAATTAAACCCTATGCATTGAACCTGGGATAAATAATTTTATTTTTTTACTCATTTTTCTGTTGAATACTTCTCAGTATTAATTTGTGTAGAGTTTTTCAGAATCTACTTATTTATGCAATGCCATATCTTCTACACGACTCTGAGAAATATACCCAAAAGTTTATATTATATAGCAATTTTCCTCCTCTATTTTCTTGCAAACTTTCTTAACCTCAGTGGTTATTATGCGTTCGTCTAATGCTTCTCTTTTTTTCAACTGCTTATAGGGTTGTAACCATCCATATATCCTATACTAATTTGGTCACAAGGGAAAATGTCTACAGCAAACTTTCTCTTGTAGACTTGCCTGGCAGTGAATGTTTTCTTATTGATGATGCCAAGGGAGATCAGGTCACAGATCTTCTACATGTGTCAAAATCACTTTCTGCGTAAGTTTTGGCTGTAGCCTTCTCTCTTTCACACTGCTTATTTTATTTTAAGATGCTAAGTAAGGCTAAGAGCTTGGTATTTAGGGCAAACAACTAAGCTTTATTTGCTATTATGTGCTATTCAGGCTGTCTATTCACTATTAAGATGCAAAATAGGTTAAGATCTTGACATGTGGATGAAAAATCAAGCTTTATTTTCTGTTTTGTTGATAGGCAGTCTATATGTTGCTTCTTTTACTTTGTATCTTTTTTGTTTGTTTATTGGATCACTTGTATGGATTATAGAAAATAATAGAAGATGCTAACAGTCAGGTGTGGAGTGAAATTGTAAAATGTTATTCTATATGTGATAAAACTAGGGAGGATGGAGAGATATGTCTATATGATGATATGTGGGTGTAGCAACTTGAATAAAATATTTTGACTAGGTGGTTTTTCATGTAAAATGAAGGTCAAAATATTCATTAATTAGAAGTGCATGTAAAAGTAATGTGGAATGATTATGAAATTAAATGATGTGGCAGTGTTAATATTCAATGCAATACTTACTAATATGTAAATATGTTTGTTGCAATGAACTTTTCTTGTTCTAAGAAGAGAATTATACTTCTTTTATTTAGATTTTGGTATTATTACCTTCAAATGTAGGATCAAAATCATCCATTTTGTTAAACATTTTAAAACTTAATGACCACGAACTTCCCCAAAAGTTCTACCTGTACAACTTTTGATCTGTAGTGGCTTTGATTAATTGACTTGATCTACTCTTTCAAAAGCATTCCTATGTTGATGTTGCGAGTGATTGTGGACTGAGAAGTCTCCATTGATGCTAACGTCAATTTATGTTGATTAAAAAACCAAAGAAAATTAGCCCACTATATCTCAAAGGAGGTTAAAAGTCTAGTCACACACAATGAGCATATTTATCCTGGACATATATCTGTGACTCAATTTGATTCTTCATTTTCTTATCGACTTTTTAATAGATGTGCCCTTACCACATGATCTCTGTTTTAAGTCAAAAGTAGTAATCTTTCTCTTCTTTTCAAATAGGGGCTGTGTCACATTTTCAAATGCGAAAGTTGTGCTTCCTATTTATAAAGAGTTACGAAAGTTTTTAAAGGAGAACTTATAGTTGAAGATGTTGAACTAATACCAAATTAACGTTATTTTGAACAAAATCTCTTCTAAGGTCTCAATGGCAAGTTTTAGGAGTGATTTCTATCTTCTTGTACTCCTCTCCTCATCTTCGTTAGTCGTCAATTGCATTGCTTTATTTTGAGAACTTCTTGAGATTAGGTTTAGGTGCCACATATGCTTTGCTTTTTGCATCTATATGTAGACCCTCATTGGTACTGAAGTTAAACCAAATCACAATAGGAAAAAATAAATATTATTATTGAAAACACATTGTCGGTTGCAACCAACACATCTGAAAGGGAAAATATAACAACACGAGATTCGTAAATCTGAAATAACTACATGCACATCACAACAAACTCAAACTGGGTGGATCTCAGGGCGGTGGTGGTGATCGACGATGATTTTGTGCTTCGTAGAGGTGACAAGGAGTGGGTGAAAGGCTGAAAGGTGTGGCAGAAGCAAAGGAGGAGGTTGGTGGCAGCGAAGGGGAGGATTTGCGGAAATGATAGTAAGCTGGAAGGAGAGGAAGGGATGGCAAGCCGGCTGGTATAGCAAAAAACACCAGGAAACAATTGTTTTCGGGTGGCTGCAATGAGGTAGAATGTCGATGGTTGCGACGGGGAATACAGGAGAGTGCAAAACACAGAGGACAACTGTCCAGGGTGGCGACATTGAGGACAGGTGGTTGAAATTGCGAAACTGCAAGAAAAACAACAATATATAGCTGTTCAAGGGCAGTTGTTAAGGGACGGCTGCATCAATGGAGCGTGTAGAGGAATGACGTGGAGAGAATGAGGAAGGGGATATGGAAGATAATCACCACATGAAGGCCAAGATACACCCGAAACACCATCTGAAATCCTATGATACAATCCTCGAAGGGAAGAGGAGACACCGACGACTGTCCCGCTACAAACCACACAAAAAATTAACGCTAGAATTGTATGAAAATGAATATATAATAAGTAGATAGCTAGGAGTGACCCACGAGGATTGATTGACTCCTCAGAAGGGAAATATTTGGACTGGTTCAGTCTAGATAGAGAAATAAATTGTTGCTTTCATGAGACTTCTCGTTTTTGAAACGCGTATGTCTGTGACAGTGCGAGAGGTCCTCCTGTGTCAGTGTCTTGGGGTTGGGAGAGCTTCGACCCCATTTGTGAAAGTTTCTGGCTCATAATATATCCTCTAGTCGGCCATGTTGAATGCGGTGGAGTTATTGTAAATTCCTGGTAAGTCAATTTTGTAGATGTTGGCCATCCAAAGCACATCGTAATATAATAAGTATTTCACATCTTTTGACACAATTTAAGCTGGAGTTGTATATATATGTAGATTCTTAGAAAGTATCCCTCAAGTCATTAAATCCCCAATTTGTTTTTTACACTCCTCGTATTTGGCTGAATGTATATGATAAATAAATATGTCAGGAGGAATCAACTTTGGGATGAAATCTGTGGTAGGTTGAATTTCTCAGGAGAGACCTATTGTTCTTCTCTGGTAGGAATGTTGACCTCATTTTGAGATCATTTCTTCTCCTTAGATCCTAGGATTTAACTCTAAGGCTTTCTATGGACTATCTTAGAGGAATAGAGCTGGGACCACCCCTTTTTAGAAATTCAAACCACTTTCCGTCTCTTGCGGTGTCTCGCCTGGGTGGTCTCAAACCATCAACTTTTGGTCGAGTGGTTAAGGACCAACATGTGGGAAATCAAAGAGAAGTTCCCAATAGGGTCTCAAACCCTAGAGAAACCCCGTCTCACAAACACAAAATACACAAAATTCACCAAGTTGCGCAAAGTCAGACTAAAATTGAACTTAAACAGGGTAAAAAATGTGAACTTGTCCAGACGGATGATGAAATGGACTACGTTGGCGCGTGCAGGACGTTAATTTTAGTTAGGGAGGACACCGATATTGCCATAATTCCACATTGCACGCAAATCACACGCAAGTCGATGAATTCGTCCAAACGACCTCAGATGATGAAACGGACTGCGCCGGCACGTCCGGAGCGTCAATTTTACCCATGAATGATACCACTTTGCTAGAGTTCCGAGCGCGAATACATCACACGTTAATAAATATACTTAAATAATATAATATAATAAAATAAAAATAAAATAATAAAAATAAAAGAAATCTTTATTTTAAACCTTATTTCACCTAAACCACGCTAGCCTCCCTCCCTTCTTCCTAGTCGCGGCTCGATCGAAGCCTGACTTGCCCCCTTCGTGCCCCAGCTCCCGCGATCGGCCGCACCTGAGGCCGCTCGAGCGAAGCCCTAGCTCCCGCATCTCCTCTGCTGTTCGCGAACAGGCTCACCCTCCTCTTCTCCCACTCGCGGCTTAATCTTGTTTGGTTCTTCGGTTTTCTTGCTGGACGGCTCGATTTATTCTTGCGTAGCCACGTATTTGGCTACCAAGTTTCAGGTAGCTTGAGCTGATCAAATGATTTTTAATTCCTGCTCTTACTATATAACTTTGGGACATTTGCAATTGTGGATCTCATAACTTTCCTACCGTAGTTACAATTACGTGATTGCCTGAATGTCTGCTGTAAGCAATTTTCTCCATGGTTTGTTGCTGGTAAAAATGCTTGAATTATGGATTGTACTGATGCAGTCATGATTGTAAAGTATCATTTCCAAGTTATAGTAATTGTAAGTTCTTAAGCTGAGATAGTTTTAACTTGTTAAATAATAAGTGATCTGACTTTGCTTACAAGAATCCATGATCACGAAGAGATGGCATAGAAGCCTATTTACCACCTTATGTCACTAAATGAATGAGTAGATGGCATCAACAACAGTTTATGCATGTGGCATCAAGCTTGTTGTCATGAAAGAGTTGATAATCAACACTTAATAAGGATTCATAATCATTATTGCACCCTCTACTCATTAATATAAAGTTAGTACAAGACAGTTCTAAAACAATACATGTTGTATGTATTGTTGTAGGTGATAATAGTGAGGCAAAATTGTGAGATTTATCTTAGGGAAATTTACATGCATACCACCCAATTCTTTTGTATTTACATATTTAACACCCAAATTTTTAACACCCAAATTTCAATTCTCATCAATTCTCACATATGTGCTACTTTACTTATGTATGCAATCGTGTTATTTCTTTTGGACTATCAAAAATATTGGGCGACTCATTTGCAAAATCTGAAACATTTGGGTGGCGGATTTGCAAAATCTGAAATATTTTGGTGGCGTATTTGCAAAATCTGAAATATTTGGGTGGCATATGTGCAAAATCTGAAATATTTAGGTGACACATTTGCAAAATCTGGAAACTTTGAGAGCTTTCCTTTTCTCTCTACTTGCTCCTTAGTTGAATAATTTTAAAGCATGATTAAGGCCACATTCCAGTTTACATTTTGGCAAGCTTGGAAAGTTGCGATGCTTCACTTTTACAAAAATTTTAAAGTTTATGTGCTACATTTGCAAAGCTTGGAAAGTTTATAAATGCTTTGGTACTATACTCATGTGAAAATCTGAGATGTTGCATATTCTCTTTGCAAAAGTTTATAGCTTCGGTGCTTTACATTTGCAAAAGCTGAAACTTCTCATATTCAATTTGGAAGGTTTGGAAGGTGGCAATGCTTTACTTTTGAAAACATTAAAAGTTTTATTTGGAAAATTAGCAAAGTCTCAATGCTTTACTTTTGCAAAACCGGAAATCTTTAAGTGTTTCGAAAATTTGGAAGCCTTTCCGAGTCATTTTTATTTTTGAAGATTTGAAAACCTCTGGAGCATTTTAAAAACATGTTTCGTGGGCTGAATTGGCTCCGTTTAGAGCTTTTAAAAACACGTGTTTTGGGCTGATTCGGGCTGCAGTTTTGCC